AATCCACCTCCACGGCGGGGCCCAGGGTGGGCTCCAGAAGGCAGCCCTTATCCCAGAGCCCTGTACCCCTGGGTTGCACCCAGGCAACGTCCTGGTGTTGAGGGACATGGGGGCCTCCTCTGACAGGCACCTCAGGCTCATGTTCTCCTTGTCAGTTTGGCTAATACCCTGTAGGGCCCCAGTGCCGCCCAGCTTGCCCCCACCCAGCAATCCATCCTCCTTCCCTCTCTGTCCTAGGGCCCCATGGCTGCTCAGCCTTCTCCCATCCCCTAACGAATCTCCTGCAGGACTAACTCATGTTGGCATCTCCCAAGGCTGACGCAGGTGGGCAAGGAAAACCAGTCAAGCATCACATCCCTGAGAGCTCTCACAGGGGTCTACCGGATCCCAGGATGGGGGTGAGTGTTGGAATGTCCTTAATCCTCAAAGTGCCTTTTCCCTAGAGGGCTCTACCCTCGGCAGTGGGCAGTGCAGATGCCTGGTCCCTGTCCCTTGGACAGCGATGGGAAAGCCCCTTAGGTTTTGCCTTTTGGACTCTTTATTTCTTTATTTCCACTTGAAGCATTTTCTTTAGTTGCCAGATCGTCTCTCTAGATGTGTCCATGTTATCGATCAGGTTTTAGAGACATATAAACCTTGAAAAAAGTTACTTAAAGCAAGCAATGTTTAATTTTGTATATATGGAACAATAACCCGTGCTTGATACTCATTCATTATTTATTCAGGAAATATACATTGAATACCTGGTAAGTTCTAGGCATTAAACTGTGAAGATAAAATTAGGGAAAATGTATCAAGCATGAAGCACACAATTTGTCACGTATTAGTTGCTCGATAAATCATAGCATTCTTGGTTACTGTCTTTGTTACTGTTATGACAACCATAATTCTGCTCTTTAATCTGAGGGATGTTTTGTCCCTATGAGGTGATTTTGACTATTTTTCCAAGTTTAGTCCACATTTTGTCCAGTTCTTTGCCCTACCTCTCTTTCCCCCTACATTCAAGATTCTTGAGAGTTAGCTCTTCACCCTACTTCCATTTATTCTCCGCCCCAGACCCCGTTCCTTCCTCAACGTTCTCCATTCCAGTCTTCTCCCTCCCTTGTCTGCTGAAACAACTCGACCCTGGGTCCCCTTTGACTTCTGGCTGCTCGTGTCGGTGACCGGGGCTGCGGTGACAAACACCACAAGCTGCGTGACTGAAACCACAGAAATTGATTGTCCCCTGGTTCTGGAGGCTGAAGTCCAAGATCCAAGCGTGGGCAGAGGTGGTCTCTGCTGAGGCCTCCCCCCCTGGCTTGCACATGGCCCTCTCCCTGAGCCCTCTTGTGGGTCTCCACTTGGAAGGACACCAGTCAGACTGGATGAGCGAACCACCCTCTGAGCTCCTTCATCTGAATCCCTCTAGGAAGGGCCCCGTCTCCAAATGCAGGCACGGTGGGGGTTGGAGCTCTCAGTGCAGGCATTTTGGAAGAGATGATTCCATCTACCCCAACCTCCAGAATTGTTTGTTCCTTTTGATTATTTTATTTGCCCTTTCAGGATGATTCAAGAGTTCAGTCTACGCTGACCATGTTTAAAAAAATTGTTCTTTTTAGATACACATGACAGTAAAGTGTATTTTGACATATTTTTCATGCATGGAGTATATCTTACTCTAATTAGGATCCCATTCTTATGGTTGTACATGAAGTGGAGATTCACTGGTAGTATATTCATATGTAAACATAGGAAAGTTATGTCCAATTCATTCTACTGTCTTTCCTATTCCTATCCCTTCTCCCTTCCTTAGGTTTCACTTTGTTTTTAATTATACAGGTAGATGGAAATAGTGCTGCAAATCACCTTTGTCTAATCCAATGAACTTCTACTCTCCCCTCCCCTTGTTGTGTGTTAGCATCCACATATCCGAGAGATCATTTGACCTTTGGTTTTGGTGAAATGGCTTATTTCATGTAGCTTGATATTCTCCAGATTCATTCGTTTACCAGCCAATGCCATCATTTCATTCTTCTTTAAGACTGAGTAATATTCCATTGTGTATATGTACCACATTTTCTTTATCCGTTCATCTGTTAAAGGGCACCCAGGTTGGTTCCATAACTTTGCTATTGTGAATTGAGCTGCTCCAAACATTGATGTGGCTGTGTCACTGTAGTGTGCTGATTTTAAGTCCTTTGTTTATATGCCAAGGAGTGGGGTAACTGGGTCAAAACATGGTTCTATTCCAAGTTTCATAAGGAATCTCCTTAGTATTTTCCAGAGGGGTTACGCCAATTTGCAGTCCCACTAGCAATCTATGACGCCATCTTGAAAGCCTCTCTTCTCTGGATTATTGCAACCCCCCCACCCCCTACCATTTCTTTGGGTCCCCTTTTCAAGCTTATCTTTCACTAACAATTAAATATTGGCATTCCTCAAGACTGTGACCTCGACTCCGTCTTCTTTGCTCTCTTCCTAGATGATCTGGTCTATCCCTGGGCTTCAGTCCATTAGCACAGAGAAAACTCACGGGTTTTTCTGTAGACCAGGACTACTGACTTGTTTTCTGTATGTATTTGCTGCTGCCTGGATTATAACAGACTTTGAGAAAAACAGAGTGATTTTTTTTTCCCTCCTGTTCAGAATGGTTGTCGCGCTGAAATACATCTACCTTGCAAAATCACCTCTCCTTCCATTGCACCAACCCACTCATAGGAGGGAATTTCCAGGGTAATCTCAGTTGAACTCGTGTGGCCCTTGACAGAGCTGACCCATGTGTGCAGCTGCTCTCGACATCAAGGTGGTGGGGGAAGAGGGGGAATTCCAGGAGGCAGAGTGCATGAAAATAGTTTGAAAAGTTGACTGATAAGCATCTCCATTGCAGCCACTCTGTGACTGCTCTATCCTGTTGTGATTAGGGAGTCTGATGCAATTGTCACACTCTGCAGATGGGGACCAGGGGGACTTTTCAGTTCGAGCTGAGTTGTTTCACTTGCTAGACTAAAGAGGAACCGTTTCAAGATATGACAGTTCTGGAGATCTTTTAGATGTCATTAATATAGTTCTTGAGAGAATATATTACTAATTATTGCTAATTAGAAATGAAAGGATCTAGTCACTCACAGAAAACCCATGCTTTGAGTGTGAGCACTAGGTCTCGGACATGCCCAGACATGGGAGAGAGACGAGGAGAAGGGAAAATGGAAAGGTCCCAAAGAAAAGCTCTTGGATGTCACCAGTGCTGTGGCTGAGCCAGAGCCAGCCCTATCTGTCACAGTCAGAACCACCTCATGGGCATGGTAGACAAGAGCCTTAGTTTGTCTGCCTCAGAACAGGCCCTGCCCAAGGTGACCTTGGGGCAGCCTACCTCCCTTTTGGATGTAGATATGAAATTCTGCTCCAATGAAGACCTTTTTACCCGGAAGTGTTTGATTTCATGCATTCTGTTTGACCGGAAGTAAATTCGCCTCAGTGATAATTGTCTCAAAACTTCCAATTGAATTTTCCACCAGGGCATCTCATTTATCAAATGTCACAAATGAACATATCCATACTTACACGCTTACATTCTTCAAGCACTCTAATTCAGAATATTTCCAGTGGGTTGACTATTCCTTAGATTTTTTTTTTTCTTTTAGACTAACAAATTTAATTTAATTAAGAAAAAAAATAACCAAGTGTGATAGAACACACCTGTAATCCCAGCTGCTCAGGAGGCTGAGGCAGGAGGATCAAGAGTTCAAAGCCAGCCTCAGCAAAATGAAGCACTGAACAACTCAGTGAGACCCTGTGTCTAAATAAAATACAAAATAGGGCTGGGGATGTGGCTCAGTGGTAGAGTGCCCCTGAGTTCAATCCCTGGTTCCCCACCCGGCCCCCGCCACAAAAAAAAAAAAAAAAGGAAAAAGAAAAAAAATCCACAAAACTTAAAAATCTCCCTCTCCACATGGGCACACAATTACAATCCCAGCCACTCAGGGGGACTGTGTGTTCAAGGCCAGCCTCAGCAACTTAATGAGACCCTGTCTCAAAAGGAAGAATAAAAAGGGCTGGGATGTAGCTCAGTGGTAAAGCATCCCTGGGTTCAATCCCTTGTACTGGAGTGAAAAAAATCTCCCCTCCCTTAGGTGAGGCAGAGTGCCCTGTGTCACCTCCAGCCAGTGCACAGGGTGGCGCCTTATCCAACTCATCAAGATTCAGAATAGGGATAACCAGAATTTTACCAAGTACCCAAATTGGTGCAAAGAGAAGGCCCCTAACCATGAGGGATAATGGAGACACTGACACCTTACATAACTTTTCTTTAAAGAAAAAGAAAAGAATTCCACCCCATTTCTCATGGAGTGGGTTAAGAAAAAAAGGAGGTTAACTGTATTGGAATGAAGCCATCCTGATGCTTCTGTGCCCTTCTCTGTGACGGCTGTGTATTTTTCCCCCCTGTATATGGGACTCTCGCTGAACTCAAAAGGCATTTAGGAAAGGGAGAACTTCCAAACAAGAGGAAATGAGGGACATAAAAATGAACTTCTGATTCCATCTGCGCTCACCCAGATGGCAGGAGAGAAGAGGGGAAAAGTGACGAGGTCGACCTTAGAAAGAGGTAAAATGAATTACAGTGGATGGGGTAGAGAGAGAAGATGGGAGGGGAGGGAGGGGGGATGGTAGAGGATAGGAAAGGTAGCAGAATACAACAGTCACTAATAGGGCATTATGTAAAAATGTGGATGTGTAACCCATGTGATTCTGCAATCTGTATTTGGGGTAAAAATGGGAGTTCATAACCCACTTGAATCTAATGTATGAAATATGATATGTCAAGAGCTTTATAATGTTTTGAACAACCAATAAAAAAATAAATTAAAAAAACAAAAAAAAACTGATACAATTGAAAAAAAAAAAGAAAGAGGTATCCTAGTAGGAAAAGTCGACTCGAGCTCAGCTCTGATTTCCTCTCCGAGGGCTAAATACATGTTAAATGACTTTGTCAATATTTTTAAGTGGCCGGTGTTGGAGTGGGAGTAGCAGACAGGCAGGGGCAGAAGGCGGACTCCTGCGAATCAAGCCACCAGCTAAGATGGTCTGTGGCCAATTTTTACAGCTGGATTTTTATAAACTCCTTCAAGAGCTGGGCGAGGGATGGGTTTAGGATGTTGCCATGGCTGCAGCTTCTTGGGAAAATATTGTGACATGGACACAGATGCAGTGTGGGAGACAGACATGGCGGGCAGGACGCATAGGAGAGAATTGAAGACCCTCCCTAGATACTTCTGCAAAGGACACCTCACCACACCGTCGCTGGATTCCATTAGCGGTGGGTGAAAGGTGAAGAGATTATCCAGGGTCCTTGTGGGGGACAAAGCTTGTGACACACACACAGCTATTTGCTATTTGCCTAATGCAATGTTATAATCGATGGGAACACAGGATTATTCCCCAGCAGAGGGCCGGAGATGCAAGTAGTTTCTTGAAATCCATTTTGCTATGACGGTGCTCGATGATTGAATTTTCCTACTTGCTTCTCTGAGATGCTTCCTGTCCATCCAGGTTTTTCTCTGGAATCATCAAAAGTGTGCCAAGGGCTTAAGAAGCCTGCTCTTGTTTTCAAACTGAGAAATGATTCGATTCGATTGAATGCAATGAAAAGCAATTGAATTGGGCTTGCTAGTGTTTGGTGCCTGTATTTACCCCCTTCCACTATTTGAGTGTTTGGGGTATTTTTTCTCTCATTCACAGGTGGAGGGGGAGCTGTTGAAGGGACAAGTCTTCTTTCCCAGAGAATCCACAGCAAGTGTGTAGGTTGGAGTGGAAAGGGCTCTGAAGTGGGTCTGGAGTAGGGGTGCTGGGTCAGGTGTATGGAACATGCCCATCCCTCATTTCCAGTTCAGCAGATACCCCCTGAACATCCACGTGGGCCAAATACTGTCCAAGATGCTCCCCACCATGATCCACAGGACAGAGGATCTCTGTCTTCCCAAAGCCTGGTGAGTCAGGACCTAGAGCAAGGGCCTGGCTTCAGAGCAAATCTCCCAGGTGGGAAGAAAGTCGTCTTCATCTACAAACCAGAAGAACGATTAAATCGTCACTCACCTCTGAAACAAACCCGGGCAAAGTGATCTGTTCAAAGATAACCAGTCATGCCAGTGTGTACAGAGGTATGGGGAGATACTCTGATTTCCACTCTCTGGTTTAATTGCCAAATAGACTCTCATGGTATTTTTTCACATGAATTCCTCATATAGACTTTTATGTAATGTTTAGGCACATTTGACTCTTTTTCATTTTCCAGGATCTGTGCTAGTAGAGGGAAAACTTCACAATCGCACTAAAAAAAGTAAGGATTTAGTTTAGCTTCCGTGGTGTGAATGAGCAACTATCTCCTACTCACCACCAATATGGGCGGGGAGAGAGGGAAATCAGCTAATTTTAGCAAAGTCACAGAATAGTAAACTCACAGAGGGTCCTGAGTCATGGTGAGATGAAAGACTTCCACAGATGAGTAAGACCGAGCGCTGTTTGTCTTTCTGTGCCAGGTTTTGTACAATTAGCATAATGTTCTTGAGGTTCATCCATGTTGCCACAAATTATAGGATTTCATTTTTTTTTTTGAGAACTAAATATTGAATCCAGGAGTTCTCTACTACTGAGCTCATCCCCAGTCCTTTTTATTTTGTTTCAAGATGGGGTCTTGCTCAATTGCTCAAGCTGGCCTCCAATTTTGTGATCCTCCTACCACAGCCTCCAGAGTACCTGAGATTATAGGTGTGCACCATCATGCTTGGCTTCTATAAGATACTCATTTTAAGGCTGAGTAGTATTCCTACATATATATATATATATATATATATATATATATATATATATATATATATATATATGAAAATATCTCACATTTTCTCTATCCGTTTGTCCTCTGATACCTACTTAGGTTAAGTCCATGTCTTGGTGATAGTGACTAGTATTGCATTAAGGGGAGGGGGAGGGGAAGATGCAGAAAGATTGGTCAACAGCTACGAAGCTACAGTGAGATAAGAAGAATTAATTCAGGTGCTCTGATGCAGAGTAGGGTGACTACGGTTGACGACATTTTATCCTATATTTCAAAATAGCTAGAAGAGAGGATTTCGAATGTTCTTACTACAAAGAAATGATACATGAGGTAATAGATATGCTAAATACTTGGATTTGATTATTTCACAATGTCTTATCTGTACCAAAGCATCACGCTATATCTCAGGTATATGTAGAACTATTATGTCAATTAAAATTGAAACAAAACTGAAAAAAAAAAGATGAAAAGAAAATGTGAGCCATGGTGTAACCATGTTCCCACAGGTGCTGAGCATGGGTCCAAGCCAAGGTGCACCCCAGCATCAGCCAAGGCTATCCCCCGCAGAAGGCAATGGGAATTCTAACTGCTCTGGTGTCCACAGGTCTCAAAGGAGCTCCCCTCAGCAGGTAGGCTCAGGGGGAATGGGCTAACATTGAGCAGAAGGCTGGGCAAATACTGCAGTCTTCTCCAGCTGCCCTCTAGGGCTGACCTTAGAGGTAAAGGGCCAGAGACCTGAGAAGGAATGTCAGCAGTTGTGGAAACAGGATCTTGCAGTTTCTTTTACCCTCTTCAAAGGCTCACACAATTCACCCAGTTAAAATATGTGTGTTGAATGCAATGCCACAGAAGCAATTGCTTTGGATGCTAAGGCTGTCATCCTGGCCAAGAAAAGCCCTGTCCCATGTCATTCAGAGACTACAGTGGTGTAGCAATGTGAGTTGGTGACCTAGATATTTAAACTGATTTTCAAATTGAATGGAGTTGGGAGAATCCTTCTGTGGACCCACTGGAGATCTCTGTCCCCCTGGAAGACACCTTGCAGCCAAATTATCAATGATAATTACATTCTACCTCCTTTAATTGCTCAAAGCCAAACCCTCCTTGGGAGCTCTCCCATTCTGCAAGAGACTAATGCAGAATCCAGTAATATGATATGTTTTCATGGGCTTCTGACTCGGTTGCCCCATGAATGTTCAAATGACCCTGACCCCCATTATTCTTCTGGACTCATGGATTTTTCTCTTCCACTCAAGGAGGAGATGCATTTGATTTAAACATGTTCAAAGCAAACAACATCAAAACTTCTGCCTAAAAACAATGACTGTCATTGTCAAATACTACTTAAAACCAGCTTTGAAAATGCATTGGTTGCTCCTAGAAAGAAAGAACACAGTACTCCAGTTGAGAAGTATTCATTCTGCTGAGGTGTGAACCATCAATGATACAATGAACCTGTTTCATTGACCCTTAGGGAATCAGACAATTATCAGAAAATCACCCGGTTTTCCCTGTTGGTAGTAAAAACATTTCCATGAACATAACTCAAGCCAGAGATTCATATTCAGCCTAAAAGAAAAGCAATTTAAGCCAAGGCTGATCTTAAAACTCAAAGCCTTTAAGACCTTGAAGTCTATGGAGGACAACGAGAGTGAGGCTGATTTTGTGTTTCCTGATGGGAAATTAAGGCAGAGTTCCCATCAGGGTCGGCTGTGTTGATAATGACTTCTATCTTGTGAGCTAAAACATCTCACCATCTCTTCAATATTTATTGACTACTCAAGACTGTGCACTAGGATATTTTAAAGATGATATGATTCCCACTTCAGATGTGATATACAGTGATTAAACCGTATTCTCACAAGTGGGGTCTAAGTAGTGCCTGAGCTTACGTACACACGTATTTCTCTCTGAGGTTTGGTCATCTTATCTGCAAATGTTCATACTGGGAAACACAGTTACCAGTGTTAAAGCCAACGGAATTGTTGTGCCCTGACATATCAGCTTTTATGTCAGAATTTTTGACATATCAAAAATTCCTCTAGCAATGGGAATTTTCCAGTCTTAATCAAGTGATAAACAAAAGATATTAGAGCCAATATTTGAAAGAACATTTTTTTTTGGCTGACTTTTTAAAGAACCATTAAAGCAGAAGTTCAAATTCCCCTTGGACCTGAGGGTTTGTCAGTCCTTGTAGTTGCTAATGCCAGTCGTAAGGTTGAATTCATTTACATGGTGGTTTTGAATGAGCTGAGATTTCTCTAACCCTGGGCAGGTGAGCCTCCCCGCCATTGGCCAGAGCACAGAAAACACGAGCTCACCTTTATACTCATGCTGCATGAGAGCACCAGGCCCTTGCCAGGTCATCTCTTCCAATTTGCCTGATAGGGAGGCAGAGCTGGGGAAAGATGGCTGCTAAGCCTCAGAGCAGCCATGGCCTGAGGGTGGAGTCCTGTGACACAGCTCAAGAGCCAGGTTCAGTCAGGAAGCAGCCCACGCAGCCGCTGTGGCTCGGGGAGATGGTGAGGAGGTTGGGAACTCTGGAGGAGATTCACCTGCCAAGATGGGGATTTTGAGCTTAAAATGAATGATGGTGGAGACTTGTGAAATGGAGACTTGTGAAATGTGGGTGGGTTTCATTAGTTGAGGGAGTTGACATAATGGCCTGGGATGGTGACCGCGATTATTCTGGTGTTGTTGGCGCTCCAACCATGGAAAGCCCTTCAAAGTCAATAGCCAGCTTGCAAGAGGAGAGGTTTCATGGGAGAAAAATGCCCTTGAACATGCCTGTCATTTTCTATGGCTCTGGAAGGAATGGTCACCTGAGACACCCACAAAGTCAAAGTCACTTAGGAAGATGGGACATGAAGGGCTCAGTGTTAGAACATGCGTGTGCAAGTTATTTATGGCAGGCTCCCAGCTGCTGCCAGAATCCCCCTTCTTAAAATAAGCAACAGGTGGGTGACCTGGCCTCAGAAAACGCTGGGTCAGAGCATGTGTGGGATTCATGACCACTTTCTTTCTCTTCCTATTAAGATGGTTCCACATTTCTTTTTTTTTTTTCTTGAAGGCCACTTGGCTTTTGGAATTCAGATATCAGAAAAAATACTAGTGCAATCTGTTTCATATAGGGATCTAATAAATAAATGCCTACATATTGATTGGGTTAAAAACTCCTAGAAGAGTGTGAGTGCATGTGTGTGTGTGTGTGTGTGTGTGTGCACGCACATGTGAGCATTTAATGGTTCTCAGAGACTATGGGTTTGAAACTGTATCATTTAGATCAATACCATCATCCATTTGCCTTGTTCTTCTTCTTATGTATTGACTTTTTCCCTATCATGTCTGGGCCCAAAGTACTTGCTGCTTCGTCTTCTTAAGAGAATGCAAAAACATGCCCTCCTTTCCCCCTCTCTCAGAGGGGAATAAGGAAAGCAAGGATTTATTCTCCAAAAATTCATTTTAATTAAAACCTATGTCCTTTGGACTTGTGAAACAAAAGTTGGGACGGCTCTTAATGATGCCTTCTTGTGGTCTGCCTGCTCCCTGGTTGGACAGGGAAGCTGGCACAGGAGCTCAGGGGTGCTGGGCAGGCCCCCTGACCTCCTGGTTTTCAGCATGCCCGCCTAAGAGCAGGGCAACATTAAAGGCTTGGCTCAGGCCCAGCCCCACGGAAGGCATTCCCAACTTGGCACAGAGGCCCGTCTCAGGCTTTGATGGCTCCCGCATTTGTTCCACAGTGATGACATTCAAAGCATAAGAGATGCATGAAAACACAAAAATAATGCACGGGGAGAAAATAAGTCCCCTAACTGGTTATTCCACGGTCTTACTTTGTGTCAAATCCGGATGCATTTGGTTAGAATCGAGGCCAATGTTAGGCCACGAAGAGAACAGACAATAGAGACGATGGGGTTTCCAGAAGCCAAGAATAGAGGCCTCCCGGCAAGGGAAGCACCCACAAAGTGAGCCCTGCGAGATCTGAGGCTCTGGGGCTCCGGGGCTCTGCAGAAGGAGGAGCGAGGCTCACCTCTTTCTTCTCCCGAGGTGAGGGAGCAGGAGGTGAGGGAGCAGGTCGGGCTCCATGGGTCTCTTTGCACTAAAGAAAAAAGGTCAAAACCTGGGGTAGGTAGCAAGGGGAGGGAGAGTGAGCCCCAGAGCCTGCAGATCAGAAAAGCAGAATTCTGGTCTTGGCCTGCTTCCAACCAGCTGTGGTTCTTGGCCAAATATTTTATCCTCTCTGAGTCTCAATTTCCCTGTCTGTGAAGTGCATGGTTTGTATCAAATGACTTCTAAGGTACCTTTCATTTTTTATTGTTAAATGCCTGAAAGAAGTTGTCATTGTGATTGGGTTCCACTAGGGGTATGTGTGTGTGTGTGTGTGTGTGTGTGTGTGTGGCGCTGAGGATGGAACCCAGGGCCTTCATGCACGCTGAACAAGTGCTCGGCCACTGAGCTACACCCCAGTCCTGAGGTCATGTTTTGTTGTTGTTGTTTATTTGTTTTTTGGGGGTTTTGTTTCTTTTTTGTGGTAATAGGGATGGAACCCAGGGGTGCTCAACCACTGAACCACATGCCCAGTCCTTGTTATTTTTTCTTTTGAGACAGGGTCTTCCTAAGTTGCTGAGGCTGGCCTCGAACTTGTGATCCTCTGGCCTCAGTCTCCCAAGTCCTTCAGATTAGAGATATACATGTATCACCTTGGTTGGCAAGGACATCCTGCCTTTTTTTTAAAAAAAAGCTCTATAACAAGGAATGTTTGCATAACAAAGTGAGCTTCTCTGATTAAGAATTATTAGTTTCTCTAATCTTTTTTACATTTACCCCCCTAGTGTAAACAAGCCCCCCAATGAAGTGAATAAAATTTGTTCTCTTCTGACGGGATTTTAAACCACTCTCTCTTCCCTGGTTTCAGTGAAAACACAGACGACATTCTTTCTCCTCCTGAAGCTCACCAGAGTCGCTGTCTCCATTCCTCTAATTATCAATGGCTAATCTCGTCATCTTTGCCCACAGGAGGATCTACAAGCTTGGTTTGCAGAACTGTAGATTGCTCAATGGACCACCAGGTGTCCACTGGCCTCGAGAAGTCTGAAAACTTGATTTTGTCCAAACTTGTGAAACTACCAGTTCCTCCCCTGAACTACCTTTCTGTCTCCTTTTCCCTTATGTAGACCACAATCCTGAGTGCTGGGGTACAGCAGAGTCAAGGCTGAGTGCGTTCTACCTGACTAGTGGGCACCTTCCTCTTTTGAGGGTTTTGGTGACATGAATGAGGATCACTAAATGCGCCATATGCACTGGACCCTGGGATTCCGATCCTGAGATGATACGGGTGCTGATGAGGAGGGCTGGTGGGTGAAGCAGCCCAGCTCGATTATCTGCTGGTTCTTTCTTGGCTGTAGGCTAGTGACACAGCACACAGCTGTCCTTCATCTGACCAAGGCCTTTGCAACAGAATTTTTAAAAGGCATGATCCACGGCAAAGAAACAGTTTCACTAAAATATAAGCAGGCAATAATGTTTACCTTTAGGAGATATTCAGGGAGAACTGCATTGCACCTGAAATATCATTTCTCCCCTGAAAAGGGTTAATTCAGGTATTAGGGAAAACACCTTGATATAAAAGATTAAAATAGATAAAGATCACAGAAGGCATCTTGAGCGCCGTTTTCTTTTCTTTTCCCTCCCCAAGGGGGAACTTGAGGGTCAGCAAAGCAGAGAGAATCTGTCAGAGACACACAGCTGGTTGAATGCAGAACTGAGACCCCTTCTGGGACATGCCACTTCCAATTCAATATCGTACCTTCTTTCCCAGTTTCTTCCAAACAGAACTGGCCCTACTTGAAGATGGAAGACATCGCTCTCCCACGTGGGCGGCATCCAAACCTGCACAGCTGTAGCGTCTCCCGAGCAGCCTGTCCCAAGGCCTTCTTTCTCTCTGGAAGCTTCTCTCAGCCTTCCAGGCTGCCCTGCTAAGCCCTCACTGCCTCAAAGGTCCCGCCCTGTTTGGATGTCTGGTCCCAAGCAGAGCTCAGAGGCTGCTTCTCTGGCTCTCCGTTGCATTTCCAGTTTGAGCACATTACTGGGCCGAGTCAAGGCTCAATATATATTTGTTGAATCAGTGATCCAAAGACTGAAAGTCATCGTCCTGAGAGCAGTCGCCAAGGTCTCCGCCATTAACACCACTCCATGGGATAAGTTATTGTCCCAAGTTAAAACGCAAGAAGACCTGGAGGAGAATAACTAAGCAATCATTATCACAGCATCTCAAGCCGCTCTGCAGAATATGAGATAAGGGCCCTGTAAAGGGAGACAGGAATGACCTTCAGGGTGCGGCAGGAGCAGGAGATGCTGCCCTCCTGGGCTTTCTGGAACAAAGTGGAGAAAAGTCGTTCTCCTGAGGGAGACCACAGAAAGTGATGCCCAAAATAACATGCCACTGCCTCTCACCGTGCCTAAGTCTGGCATTTACCAGTTGTCCTCTCTGTCCCCCACCCAAAATGGGTGTCTTCATGACTGAATCACACAAATGCCAAAGGTTTATCACAATGTCTCCTTTCTAATTGGCATATCAATTAATACTTTCCAGAGTATCGTCCCCTCTTTTTCTTTATTTAATTTCTTTGAGAGACTGGAGGTAGAGGATATCATCTCCAATACCATTCAGAAAACCGAGGTGGAGAGCTGCTGTTTCACCTTAAACCTTATGCTCTGGCCACTAGGGGAAACTGTGGTTTTCTTGCATTTAGAACTAATGATAACATTTAAAAAATATTGTATTTATTCTAGGCCGGGTGTGGTGGCACACGCTTATAATCCCAACGACTCAGGAAGACTGAGACAGGAGGATCTCAAGTTGAAGGCCAGCCTCAGCAAATTAGCAAGACCCTTGGCGACTAAGTGAGACCCTGTTTCAAAGTAAAAAAAAATAAAAATAAAAATAAATAAAAGGACTGGGGAATGTGGTTCAGTGGTAAAGCACCCCTGGGTTCAATCCCTAGTACCAAAACAAAATAAATAAATAAATATTTTATCTACTCTAGACAGATCTTTTTAAGGAAAGGGTCTCTATTTTATTTTTATTTTATTAATAATTTTTAATTATTTTATTAATGAGGGCAAAGACCGTAACAATCCCGTGAGCCTATCCTGCAATCTAAAATGTTGCTGCATTATACATAACTCTCATTTTTGACCAAAAATGGCCCCCTTGGATTCCCCCTGAGCATGAAAAGAAGAGAAATAGAGAAAGAGCCACTGATGCATTCCATAATGACGACATCACCCCTACCAATGCCTGCTCCGTTTATTTCTACTCAAAATGAAACATCATATCTTCACCAAGGAGATAAATAGTGAGTTTTATTAGAATAAGAACATTACCCTTCTGCAAGCTTTTCTTTCTTTTTTTTTACTCTTTGTTTGCACTGACCTAGATTATTTGCGACAGATGTGTACAACCGCCATCATTTTATAGAAACAAGCCATTATTTTAAAACGCTCAGTCCTAGGATGTCTTTATCCCCGAGAGCGCTCTCCTTTCCCTCAGATCATGCCACAGAGGAGAAAGGTTATAAAAGGTTAAAAGATGGGCGTTGGGAAACAGCTTTCTCTTGAATGTTTTGTTTTGTTTTTCATGATCAGAATCCGAATCCAACATGTTAAGGAACAGCTCTGAGTCGAATTTCCTTTCCTTTGTTCTTGATTTTAATTTCCCCCCAAACTGCACTTGAGCTCCCCATATTCTGTCGCTCCCTTTGAATGCCAATGATTTGCACTTCTGTCCTGCCTTTCATCTAGGGAATCACAGGGCCATCTGAAGCCTCTTCTGATAAACTTCAGAGAGGTGCTCTCACGTTTAAATCCTTTGGTCCCCTTCTTTTCAGAATATGCAGCGAGGAAAGATGTTGCGGTAACAGAAATGCCCTCTGTGGACTGGGCTTGGGTGATTTCCCACGGTGGCTGGACTCCAGGGGATGGAGTGTGTCTTCTCCTGGGTGCAAGGTGTAGGATGCGCTTGTGCAAGAGTTGTGACATCCTGAGGCCCTGAAATGGCACAATCCCCTTCAAAAACAAGCTTCCCTACCTCTTTGTCCTACTTCAAGAGCTCTGGCCTGCAAGGTTTGCCAGTTTGGAAGGTGAAATCAGTTATCACATTTATTCAGGGCATGTCTCATTGGGAGCGGATGAGAACTGGTGTCCTGGTCGATGTCACCAGACTTGACAGTGGTCTGCCACTTTACGGGTAGGTGATTGTTATCAAGTGCTTTACAGAAATGTTAGACACTGAGATAATCTGATCTCATTGCTTCTTTTGGAAAATTTAAGGTAAGCAAAAAAAAAAAAATAGTCTATTCACTTGAGCTCAAGTTGGTTGTTTCCTGAGGGACCCTGAGAGATTTTCTTGGTAGAATCTAAAATATGCCACAGACTCTGAGACCAGAGGTCTAAACCCAAGTTGATAATGAAAGGGAGAACTACCCTTCACCTCCCATTTCCATGAATACTTAAAAACAATTTTGATTTTGCAGGAATGCGTGTGATCTATGGGCTCATTGTCCTCACAGTCTCAAAGAACTTGACTGGCAGGACTAGTTCTACTGAAATAGCAGCAAGTTTGACAATTCCTGTCACAAGTTCAGGTTCTGTGGGTACAGACCTGGGTCAGCCCACTGCCAAACCCAGAGTGGCCCAGGTGTTTCAGAGAGTAAAGCAAGCTTAAGAAATAAATGACCAATATGGCCGTGTCACATTATGTCCTTTTCTTTTTTTATTTTATTTTTATTTTTAAATTTGTTCTATAATTAGTTACCGGTGACAGTAGAATGCATTTTGACACACTGTACACAAACGGAGCACAACTTCTCCTTCCTCTGGCTGTATATGGTGCAGTCACACGGGTGGGTCGTGTAATCATACATGTACATAGGGTAATAGTGTGTCTCATTCTACTGTCCTTCCCACCGCCATGACCCCTCCCCTCCCCTCACTCCCCTCTGCACAAGTCAAAGTCCCTTCATTCTTCCCTACCCCCCACCCATTATGGATCAGCATCTGCTTATCAGAGCAAAACATTCAGCCTTTGGTATTTTGGGTTCGGTTTATTTTGCTTAGCGTGATATTCTCCAGCTCCATCCATTTACCTGCAAAGGCCACATGTTATGTCCTTTTAAAGAACTAAAATGCTAGGAAGAGGCAGAAGAATGAGTAATATGAATATTTGACTTTTCTCTTCCACATAAATATGGAAGAAACTGCCTTGTGTCACAGACCTTCATCCATGGGGCTGGTGACTTCTTACTCTGTCCCCATGTCTGTGGCTACAAGAACTTTTGGTGACACCACCAGACACCAGCTGAATGAGACATAAGATGTGAGGACCCCTGGCTTCCTCCTTTTACTCCAACTTCCACGTCACTGACCTTCATACCAAGTCACATAGCAAGGACACCCCAGTTGACATTGGGGTGAGAGTAGAGGTGTTACCTTCCTCCCCTGAACTCTTCATCTTGGAGAGCCAAGCTGGTCTGACTTCAGCTTTCCCAAGGGAGTGAAATTCAAAGAAAGCCAAGACAGTGGCTGAGGTCTATTCTACAGAGAGCATCTAGAAATGCCGTTAGATCCACGGTGTTTCCCGGTCCCACAGAAATATGCCAATGTCTCAGAAGAAAAAATGTTTCAAAATAGGACCTCTGCATGTTATCAGCTTCCCACTATTTCCATGAAATACTCGGGGTGACACATTGTAAAGAGAAAAGTCTTCTTCAGCTCACAGCTCTGCAGGTTCAAATCCAGGCTGGGCAGCCCCACTGGTTTGGCCTTGGATGAAGGTAGAACCTGCCTGTGGCTGGAGCATCTGACAGAGCAAGTGGTCCCAGCTCACGACAGCAAGAGAGACTGGGGTCCCACTTTGAGAACATAAAAGTAATTAACGAGGGACCTCCCTAGTGGTCCCACCTCTGAAAGCTTCATGGTGTCCCCAACACTGACACTCCGGGGGGACCAAGACTTTACATTACACCAAGCTACAGTAATGTGCACCAAGCTCCCATGCTCTGTCTGCACCTTGTTTCTGGACCCCACAGGGACCCTGGTGGCAGACCTTGTCCAGCGGCCTCCCCAGCAGGTAGCTTTCCCCTGGAGTGAGTTGCAGCGTTATCTTCAGGCAGGTGCACCAGCATCTTCTAGGTGCAGTTCTTGCTCGTTAGGAACAGTTCCTGGAAGCCACCTTGCAGTCTCATTCATGGTGGCAGCACTCATTCTGCAGCCAAGGACAGGCCAGAGCATGGCCCGTGGATCATCTCATGAGCCAGCCCACCTGCTCATGGCTCCCTGGCTGCTGTGCAGAGTCTGGCCAGGCACAAGGTCTACGTGGCGCCTCTCAGAGGAACATGCCCCTCTCTCTGTTGGAGCTCTTCTCCTTTATTTTATTTTTCTTACTGTTGAACATGGTCGAAGTTTCTTCCAGGGAGCATTCATATAGGGCAACTTTCTAGAATTCACCAGACCACAGGGGGTGGATTCCAGTTTAAAGACGAGCAAAGCAACACCTTGGGCTGGATGTGTTGCTCCCCTTTGGGAGGTTGACTGCTGACCTCCATGGGGCAGTGCAAAAGGAAACACTTGAGATCAGTGACATGAGCCCCAGGGTGCCCCCATGGGTTTTCACAGAGATCCATCTAGTGGTTAGTGTGGCCCCAGGGGAGCAAAGGAGCATTTGGGTAATGCCAAGTCTACACATCTGTGGAGTCTGTAGACTAAAGGATGCTACTGAAGCTGCATTAGTCCTGGAGGGTGGACTGTGACTTTATAAGGACATCCTCACAGCCTTACACAACCATAGGCTTCCATGCTGGGTTCCTGGTGCGTCACTGGGTCCTGAAGAGCCGGGAGTGGAATGCTATACATTCTTCACCTTAGTCCCAGTTTCTGACTTCCTACCAAAGAAGAAAACATAATGTGGTTCTGTCTAAAAGTGAGAAGACATGTGTTCTAGACCTGGTGATGTTCCTAACTAACCCGGTGTGCTGTCTCAGGTAAACCCCATCATCATCTCCCAGGACTTAGTTTTCCCACCTATAAAGTGAGCATTAGGTAGAGAGACCCCGCTGTCCCTTCCAGGTCTGGAATTCTACACGTGTGATCCACTGTCTCCCTCCAACACATAAGTGGTAGGATTATATCCTACAGACTTCGTGCCAAATGCAGGAAGTGGATAATGTGCTTTTGAAATAAACCATATAGTTGGAACTGAAGCAAGGAATGTCGGTGAGTGATGATACAGTCTAAGCCTCAGGACACCGCCTCTAAATCTCCTTCAGCAAAAATAGCAGAGCCCCCGAGAAATTCTAGACAGATGGTGTATCATTTCACATCCTAGATGGTAAGGGAGGAGGTAATCCAGGTCTTTTCTTCTGATTTACAGAAATTCCCTGGTGAAATGAACTTGATGAGAACCTTAGAAGATATATATATAGATTTAACCCAGGGGTGCTTCACCACTGAGCCACATCCTCATCCCTTTTTATCTTTTGAGACAGGGTCTCACTAAGTTGCTTAGGGCCTTGCGATGTTGCTAAAGCTGGCCTTGAACCTGCAATCCTCCTGCCTCAGCCTTCTGAGTCCATGGGATTGCAGGTGTGCACCACCACACCCAGCAGAGATAATAAATTTTTAACCCAGTGAGGATGGTAGCACATGGTCAACTGAAAAAGAGATGTCACTACATGAAAGGAAAAAATACCAAAGCATTTCAACTGCATGGAACAAACAGTTTAGGAGTTTAGGGAGATATTCTGATATTTTCACTGGGTTGTGTCATCACATATATTTGTAATAATAAGAGAGAAAGGCACATAAGGAAATTCTTGAGATAATTCAGATTTAATGAAAATATGTATAAGCCCAGGAATAGTAACATAAAGCCAATAACTGATTCTCTTCCACAATAAATGCATAATTATTTATCCAATCAATTGAACCAGAAGCTTAGGAGAGCTATTCCAGAATCCTTTGTCTCCCATTCCATTCAGTTGATCACTGCCATCCCCACCCCCCGTTCCTAGATGTGTTCTCCCATGGCCGAATGTACCTCATTTTCTTTTCTGCTGTCACCACCTTAGTTCGGGTCTTTACCATGTGTCTCTCAGTTTACTGACTGCAGGACTCGACTCTTAACTTTATCTCTTACAGATACCATCTTCCAAACTGTTTCTAGAAAATTCTACTCGACCCCCAAATTTGATTATGTCACTTTCCTACTTGAAACGAGCCATTTCATCTCCACTGCATATAGAGTTCCAGACTCCAAAGTGTGGCCTGATAAGGAGTCTTTGGACTTTACACCTAGGTATGCACTTTCATGAAGGTCTTAAACAGAAATGCCCACAGGCACCCACCGTCTGGATGCTGTGACCCTGTGTATCCACCTCCATGTCTTACATCAGGCATCGCTTGATCTCTGAGCCTTTTTGGACATCCACTCTGAACAAGGTGCCCTCTGGGTGCCCACAGCACCCTGACCATATCTCCAAAGCATCACCTTTGTCTTTGATACAAATGGGAATTGAATTTTTTTTCTTCTTTGCCTTTTAGTTTGAACATAAACTCTATGATGGAAAGCCATTAAAGTTAGGCAATCTCTAGGTAGGGCAGGCACAGAGAGACAATACAGCTTGATCCATATCACAAACCACATGACTTATGTAGAACCTGAAAAAGTGGAACTCAAAGAAGTAGAAGGTAGGAGAGTGGTTACCAGAGCCTGGGAGTGGGAGGGAATAAGGTCATGTTGGTGAAAGGGCCCAAGATTTCTGTTAAGCAGATGAAGTAAGTTCAGACATCTATTATATGACCCGGTGACTATAAATAATAGCAATGAATCACAATCTGGAAAGTTGCTTGAGAGAGTAGATTTTAAGTGCTCTTACCATAAAAAATAAGAAGCATGTGATTTCATGCATTAGGTTAATGAATCAATTCAGCCATTAAACAGTGTTTGCATATTTCAGAACATCAAGTTGTACAGGATAAATACACA